GAATGTATGAAATGTTCAATTGTCCACATTTGAAAACAATGTTTTCTAATGTTTACCCAAGCATTCATATTCAAAGATGTTGTTTTCATTTCATTAATCATACGATACGGGGAAAGCCACTTACAGGTCCATCAGGAAAATATTGTTTATGTTAGTAATTGTGGAATATGCATCCTTTAACATTCCAGGGAGTAATTTCAAAATGAGATGAATCTGTATGTGCTGTCAGGGGAAGATCCTGCGTCCATTTTATTAAGTAGCAAAAGCTAGTGGCCTGTCAATACGTACATTCTTACCTATTCTGTTGAAAAGAAACCATATATTCTGACAGCATACTATTGAAAACGATAGTCACCTGGAAATAACATACACTAGATGGTTAGTCATGGGGACTTCGGAGGAGGAGGCTGAATTCCGGAAGAACTTTGAAAAGGGGACATTGTGACTTATCTGTGTTTTTAGACTTTTTTTTTTGCAATAGGAAGATATACACTACTACCTTTATAATTGAAATTCAGATGTAAGCCTAATGACAGAAAAGCAGCCATGTCAAAGTAACTGCTAACTGATGCAATAGACAAACCCCGACATTTGAAGAGCTAACAGGACAAAAGTGCATTCTGGGACACATAAATTCTGATACCATTTGGCAGGGCCCTCCGCATTTCCTAGACCCTGGAGAGCCTGGTTGCTTTCATCTTGGGGCTACCCTATCTCAATGTGGGGTGGCCGTGGCGAACCAAGGGAGACAGCATGAAGCTGACATACCGACGCACTGGCTCTCAGATGCCTGGATGTGATGAAGGATGCTTTTGCTCATGTCTCCATGGCAAAGGGTCATCACACGACCCTTCCTAACCACAAGTGGACTGGAAATGGAGGGTCCCCTGTGTCCAGGAAGGAAAGCAAAGACAAGGTATGGATGAGATTGAAATTTCTCCCATGTACTGCTACACAGTAGGTGCTCGACCAAAGGCAACTACCATCATTTGTTATGACAACTGACTCTATTAACTAGAGGTATCTCCGAGGTCAGATTTGCTTGGTTTTCTTTGCATTTTTAAGTGCCTACCTCATGACAGATGCTTTCAAATACAGGACCACATCTAACGCGAAGAGGATCCTGTACATGTCGGCAGGGAGTGTTCACCTTCCTCAGGCAACAGTACTTGTCTACATTGCCTGCACTCCCCGCATTGCCGTCTGTAATCACAGTAGGCTGAGAAGTTCCTCCTTCCTTTTGAAACATGGGTAGACTCAGAACCTGTCTCTGCTACCCTCCATGTGACTAAACTTGCCTGAACACCTGACCTGCACAGGTGCCATTAGGCTCACTGAACACCAGGGCTTTTTCCGTGGGGCACGTACTAGACAAGGGGCAGTGGGAGGATGGTTATTTTTTTCGGGTTCGATTTGGCCTCAATTGTCCACCGAGCAATCATGTTGCACCACCCAGGAGGACTGTTAGGAATTTGACTTCAGTGGATGTTTGCTCCTCATCGACCACTTCTGATGAAGCATTACTATCTGACCACCTAAATGAGCTCTTTCATCTGAATACGAGTTCAGTTCCCAGCCTCAAATAAGAAAATCCTACAAGTCCTTCTACAAACACCAGGGTGGCTTCAAAACTCCTCTGCGTAACATCAGGGTTGATCCCTAAGTCCCTGGAAGGTTATAGGTGCAATGAGACATTCCTCACAGCCCAAAAGGAAAACAGAGAGTGGATCAAAGACCACCTGGGGAGGATGAACAAGTGTGCTAAGGTCACAGTCCAAGTCCCATTTTCCATCAAAACAGCTTTAGCTGTTAGAGCGGTTGGAGGGTAAGCTCCAGGAGAGCCACGGAACCTGGGCAGGGAGTAGGCCTGCTCTATGTCATGGGAGGGCATGAAGCCCTTGTGTAGCCAATAGAGGAGACAGCAGAGATGAGCCGGCCAGCAAACCAGGTTCCAGAGCTGGACAGGAGGGCACATATGGGAAGAGGGGCTGTCATGTGGGAAAGTGTGGGGACTGGACAGAAATGGCAGAGCCTGGCAGAGTCTGCTCTGAACAGGACTCAATCCCCAAATTGTGCTTCCTTCTTGTCACCTTTCTTCCTGAGGCCTGCTTTTGCTACCTGGACCTCGGAGTCCTCCTCTTTGTCATCTGGGAAATAACATGGTAGTGAGAAGACAAATGAAGTAGGAGTCAGAAGGTCAGCGACAGGCTGGGGTGGGTGGGAACAGCGGGGACTCTACATGAATTCAGACCCGGGGTCTAGTGGGTCTGGTTTCTGCTCTGTCACTTGGTAGCCGTGTGATCCTGGGAAAAGGACCAAGTCCTGTGAGCCTCAGGTTCTTCATCTGTGAAGTAAGTGGGTTGGATAAGCCCCGTCTTGCAGGACTGGAGGAATGTATGTGATGTATGCAAAGCACCTGACATGGTGTGCTGGGCATATATCAGAACATTGATGAATGGCAGGTGTTTCTAATGTTGGTTTGATCCCAGACCCTTCTACTCTCTCCAAAGGCATATTCTCTGTTTACAGCTCACGCTAGAGTATATGCAGCTCAACAGGACATGGAACAGCTAATAAGCCAAAGAGGATGCTTCATAAATACAACTCGATCCATTTTCTTTTTTTTTTTTTAATGAACAAAAAACGTTTGCTCTATTTTTGAGAGAAGTGACAGAGCACGAGCAGGGGAGGGTCAGAGAGGAAGGAGACACAGAAAGTAAAGCAGGCTCCAGGCTCCAGGCTCCTAGCTGCAGCATAGAGATCATGACTTGAGCGGAAGTCGGACGCTTAACCGACTGAACTGCACAGGGTCCCCAAGGTCCATTTCATTTTCGAAGGCAGAGGACATATGTGGGATATATGAGAATATGTGTGGAATGTGGCTGTGGGGGAGTTGTCCCAGCTGGAGACAACACGAAGCTGCTAGAAGTTGAATCAAAGACCAACTTCTTCCCTTCCCGTGCACATGCTCTTCCATCCAAACCACTACTTTCATTCATTCTCCAGGACCAAAACCCAGACCTGGCTTACAGCTGTCCAATGACACTCAAGATAATCAAATTAAAAAGTCTTTTGAATGCACTGGGTTGTGGTTTGCCATGGCCAGCAACAACAGTGTCAGTCTAGACCTTCTGGGCTCCACTTTAAAGGAATATACCATATAGGGGCGCCTGTGTGGCTCAGTCGGTTCAGCGTCCAACTTCGGCTCAGGTCATGATCTTGCAGCTCTTGAGTTCCAGCCCCGCGTCGGGCTCTGTGCTGACGGCTCAGAGTCTGGAGCCTGCTTCTGATTCTCTCCCTCTCTCTGCCCCTTCTCTGCTCTTCAGCTCTCTATCACAGAATAAAGACACATTAAAAAATTTTTTTTAAGGAATATCATCATATTTCTCCAGAAATCCTTGCAGATGATGGGTAGAAAACATCTACTCTGTGCACTGTGTTCAACTCCACGGGGACACGAGTGCTTGTCCCTTTCGCTTCCTGACACAGATTTCTCTTTGGTTTCCTCATGATCCAAAAGGAATTTCTCGGAGCCATTTTCTGTTTCAGATTTTTCTCGCACCCCTAAGGCACACCATCTGTGGGCCTGGCCACTGTCAACATAAAGCTTCGTTGTCATCAGCTGCCCAGGAGGCATCCCACTGACCAGAGACCCCAGGCCAGCCTGCCTCAGGAGGGGCATCCCCACTGCAGGGCCCGCCCCTGGAGCCCCGCTGCCTCAGCCTTCTTTCACTTGTTCGGCTAGCCTTGGGGACCCCTCCCCACCTTCCCACTGCTGCTAGACAGTCACGTATGNCAGGGTCCCCAAGGTCCATTTCATTTTCGAAGGCAGAGGACATATGTGGGATATATGAGAATATGTGTGGAATGTGGCTGTGGGGGAGTTGTCCCAGCTGGAGACAACACGAAGCTGCTAGAAGTTGAATCAAAGACCAACTTCTTCCCTTCCCGTGCACATGCTCTTCCATCCAAACCACTACTTTCATTCATTCTCCAGGACCAAAACCCAGACCTGGCTTACAGCTGTCCAATGACACTCAAGATAATCAAATTAAAAAGTCTTTTGAATGCACTGGGTTGTGGTTTGCCATGGCCAGCAACAACAGTGTCAGTCTAGACCTTCTGGGCTCCACTTTAAAGGAATATACCATATAGGGGCGCCTGTGTGGCTCAGTCGGTTCAGCGTCCAACTTCGGCTCAGGTCATGATCTTGCAGCTCTTGAGTTCCAGCCCCGCGTCGGGCTCTGTGCTGACGGCTCAGAGTCTGGAGCCTGCTTCTGATTCTCTCCCTCTCTCTGCCCCTTCTCTGCTCTTCAGCTCTCTATCACAGAATAAAGACACATTAAAAAATTTTTTTTAAGGAATATCATCATATTTCTCCAGAAATCCTTGCAGATGATGGGTAGAAAACATCTACTCTGTGCACTGTGTTCAACTCCACGGGGACACGAGTGCTTGTCCCTTTCGCTTCCTGACACAGATTTCTCTTTGGTTTCCTCATGATCCAAAAGGAATTTCTCGGAGCCATTTTCTGTTTCAGATTTTGCTCGCACCCCTAAGGCACACCATCTGTGGGCCTGGCCACTGTCAACATTCAGCTTCGTTGTCATCAGCTGCCCAGGAGGCATCCCACTGACCAGAGACCCCAGGCCAGCCTGCCTCAGGAGGGGCATCCCCACTGCAGGGCCCGCCCCTGGAGCCCCGCTGCCTCAGCCTTCTTTCACTTGTTCGGCTAGCCTTGGGGACCCCTCCCCACCTTCCCACTGCTGCTAGACAGTCACGTATGGGTGGGGCGTGCCCTGCCTCTCCTAGTGTCCGCACTGCTAATACAGGGCCCTTCCGAGAGCGAGCAGAGCTCAGAGAATATCTGGCAACAAATGGACCAGTAAGCAGGGGTCCTCTGTGCCCAGATCCACTGGCTGCTCCTTTCGTGGTGAGCAGAGCCAATGCAGGCACACATATCTATGCCACTTGTACAGAATGACAGACAGCAAGGGATGAGAAGCAAAACATCTTTTATTTCTCATTTTCCTGACCCTGGCACATTACTGCCAAGGTCTTCCAGATTTCCAAGACATCCCTGTGCCCAGCCCAGGCACTGACATTCTCTTCAGGATCCCAGATGAGGATGGAGGGGTTCCCGGCTTGTTGCACCAATGGCAAAACTCTGAGTCTTGAACCGGACAAGTACAAGAACTGTGGCTTGAGTGCCACTCACACACTGAGCCTCTGAAGCTCCAGAAACCTTCTAACACAAGGAGCAACATGGGAAAGCTTCCTCAAGGAAACAAACAAGGATTTCTGAGGTCGCATAGACAGAGAACAAACAGGGAGCCACCCAAACGTGATGTGGGCCCCACTTTCCCCAAGCAGCCCTGGCCCTCCCCTACTCACAGCGCCCAGTGCCCTCCCTGCTCCCAGGCACAGGGAAGAAGTGGCCTGGCCTCCTGCCCTGCAGGGAAGGCTGCTGGACCCCCAGCGGAAAGGGCCCGGCTGCCCCTCTGGCTCACACCCACTCTTCCTCATTGCTGGCAGCCTCGTGACACAGGGACAGGGAGGCCCCAGATAGCCTGCTATTGACCATGAGGATATGCTGCAGCACGTGCACGCTGCTGGTCTCCGCGTGGGCCCTGGGACCCCACAGGAACTCGTAGCGTGCGGGCTCGCTGCCGGGCACCTGCCGGTACTCCAGGTACCCTTCCTGCACCCAGACCTCGGTGAGCAGCTCCCTGGGGTCCCCATAGAATATGTGCTCCCTGCCATCATACACCCCCAGGACCCCCAGCACTTTCCACACCTCCTCCTCAGGGGCACATTCGTCCTCCAGGAGGATCACTCCCAGGACCACCACCAGGAGGCTGGTCGTGGGCATGGCCTGCTTACCACGTAGCATCCCACCACAGGTCAGGCCGAGGATGGTGTCCAGGACGTAGGAGTGCTCGCCGGGGTCCACTTCCTTCACATCAACGCCAAAGACCAGCAGCAGGTACTGGCAGGCTTGGTGGAAGATCACAGGGAACTGGTCCTGGACATCTGGGCTGACCACTGTCAGCATCTCAGCCTGAGTGGTCGGCTGCTTGGTGCGATATTTGACGAGCAGGAACGCCAACAGGTCGATCAACTTCATGTAAAGTGCGTCTTGGAGCAAGGGCTCGGCCACTGCTGGGTCTCCCCAGGAGCTCGATTCCTCCTCATCCGGGTTGCTGGGCTCCTCATCAGACTGGCTCTCTGGAGCACATGCCATGTCAGCAGGGGAGGGGCCAGCGCTCTGAGGGCTCTGGGGAGGACTCAGGGACCCAGCAGCCGACCCCTCCTCCACGGGGATCATTAACAGGAAAGAGCAGGAGGAGGAGAGAGAGGAGGAGGAGAGGGAGGAGGAGGGGGAGGAGGATGAGGGAGATGGGGTTTCCTCCTCATCCTCAGCCCCAGAGAGCTGTGCATCCAACAGGCCTTCGGCCTCTTCAGGGTCTTCTTCCAGCATCCAGCCCTCCCTCTGCAGGGGCATGATGTTTGTGAGAACCTGAGGAAAGATGAGGGGGGGTCCTCAGGGGGCAGCCCAGCCCAGAGAGCCCGAGGAACCAGACCTGAGAGCAGGGACGTGTTGGGATTGGGGGCCAAGGGGCCCCTCTGGGGTGGGATGGGCAAGAACCTGGCTCCACACACACAACATGCACATCACCTTGACAACAGGCGGGCACCAGTCTGCACGTCCTGTGCTCTGTGACCTCAGGACTCCTGCCTCAGACCAGGGCCTCAACTCCAAAGCCGGTAGCCCCTGGAAGACAGAGGGAGGGGGCACCTCAGGTAGGGGGTGCAGGCTCTAAGCACCACCCTGGGTCCTCACCCCACACCCCCAGGGCTGCCAGGAGATTCTGGGCTGCACTCTGTGCGGTGCCCCACAAATCTGGCCCTGGGCCTTCCCCTACTTGGCCCCTCTGCTCACAGCTATGGCCCCTGGCAGGTCTGGGCCCCGCCCCTCTGCTGGCCTGAGGCAAAAGTCTCAGGACCAGACCACACAGCCCTGAAAGTGGAACAAAAGGAAGCCCTGGGGCCACATCTGGACACGCCTGCCAAAGGTCCACAGTGGTTGTCCCCCATCGGGAGGGATGGCCACTTCCTGGCTTCCACCTGTGCTGGGATGGGTGCCCCTCTTCAGCCTTCAACAGGACCCCCTGGGGGGCCTGGAAGAACTCCCTGTGTGGACCTCAGGCCACCCTCCTTAAGCCGAGGCCTCCTCTCCAAGACCCCAGAAGAAAACGTCAGGAGGAAGTAGTCCACCCACCCAGCCCGGGTCCCCCCAAGGCTGACACGAGCGACGGGGCAGGCCTGGTCCCTAGGTAGGTTTCCTGCACTGGGAGGCCTCTCCTGCTTTCTCACCTCCACCTTGACCACAGCGCGGCATCCTGCCTCAGCTGACCTGGGTCCAGGCCCTCACACCCAGGCCTCCCCTCGCTGAGACCAGGGGACTGGAAATGCGGAGGGGCTCAGCCTGACAGGCCCTGCCCCGGGGTCCCAGGGCCCCCCGCGGGGGCGGCTCTCAGAGGGCTGCCCCTGTGCTGGAGTCCAAGCAAGGTGCCTCCCGCAGTGCTCCCGCAGGGATCTCCGGAGGAGCCCCAGCACCTCTGCAGGCCTCTGTCCGCCGTCCCCAGGCCCACTGCCTCTCACCAACGCCCTCACGGCCCCGAGAAGCAGGGGCGAAGGCTGTGGACGTCACACGAGGCGACAAAGTCTGGGGATCCCGCGGCTTATGGCAGGGGCTGCGATGGGTTCCTTGGGATCCCTCCGCCGGATCGTGTCGTCCCTGTCTGGAGTCCCTGGACGGCCTGGGCCTCAGGATCTGCCGCCTGAAGGCTGCTCGTCACACACAAAAAGCTCTGTCTGGCGGCCACCCAGATCGGAAGTTCCCACAGGCCTCAAGTCCCTCAAGTCATTGTCATCTCTCATCCCCAACAGGAACCCCCTGGATGAATTGGGCCTCGGGCTCTGCAGCGCGAGGGTTGCTCCTCACACACAACAAGCCGTCAGTCTGGCCCGACCCGGAGTGGAAGACCCCACAGGCTTCCCGTTCGCGTCACTCCGCCCTGTGGCCTACACCCCGCCCGCCTCCCCCCCCCCTCACTGATTCCCTTTTGGGTTCTGGGTCCCTGGCCCTCCCTCTGCTCCTCACCTAGACCCCTGTCAGAGTCTGGCCCTGCGCTCTACCGACTGGAGGCCTAGCTTCTTCCCCCAAGGCCCCACCGAGTCCCCGAGACGTGGCTGCAGAGGTCCGGACCCGCCACGGGGCATCACCACACGCACACTGGGGCCTCCCCGGGGTAACAGCAGGCTCAGGACCCGGTGCGCTAACCAACCTCTGTTCTGGGGCCTTGGTGCCTTCCCCTCCTCCTCGTCCCTGTGTGTCCTCCCCTGGACGCCAACTCCCCGCGGATCAGGGGCCCTCCCCTGGGCGGACCCCCGAGTGGAGTCGCGTGGCTTCGCCTCACGTTGCGTCGTGACCTGGTGGGTCCTTGCTCCCAAGGTGCCGACTCTCTGAGACCCAGACTCCCAAGTCAGGACACACAGCCCGTCCATCCTGCCCGGGACCCTCCCAGTCGCCGACTCCGTGCTGGGGTCCAACGGCCCTTCCTCTCCCTTGTGGTGCTCACCTTGAAGCCTAGTAGGCTCGGGGGCCTTCTAGCTGCCAACGCGAGGCTGGGCGGTGCTCCCGCTCGCGAGACGCCAAGCTCCACGCCAAAATGCCGCTCGCGAGACGCCAAAATCCCGCTCGCGAGACCCCAAGCTGCCGCTCGCGAGACGCCAAAATCCCGCTCGCGAGACGCGAAACTCCCGCCCTTCCAGTCTCTTGAGACCCGGATGCGGAAGTCCAGACACCCCATGGGACCTCATTCCCCACGAGATGCTCTCCTAGGCTGCCACTAGGGGTCGGCTTCCGGGCCGGGGCCTCTGTTCTGGGGCCAGGGTCCCTCCCTCAGTGTTCCCTTAGTGGCAATCTGTACTCTGGGGATGGTGGGTGTGGGTGCCCGCGGCTAACTGGAGCTAGTGCCCCTCAGACCTGGATCCCTCGGTCTCTAGGACGCACGGCTCTGGCCACCCGATCTAGGGGCTCCCTGGACCTGCGCCAGGGATCGACTTCCTTGCTCTGGGCTGCGGCCTGCTCTGTCTCCTCACAGCACTGGGCCCTCCTCCCCTTTTCCCACCTGAGTGGCTGCTCCTGACAGACAGCGGGGTCCCCCTTCCTCCCCAGCTCACCTGCCCAACCCCCCAAACTGCCCCCCACTCGGTGTCCCTGGCTATCTGAGCCCCGGATGCCTGAGTCCAGCCTCACCCAGTGTCTCCATCCCGAGGGCCTCCCCGGACTGACTCTGATGTGGGGTCCAGGCTCCTTCCGTCCTCCCTCTGCATCCTCACGAGGAATTGACACAGGACCTGGGCCCTGCCTTCTGCAGACCTGAGGTGTCGAGGCCCCCACCCCGTGTCTCTGAGCCCTGGCTGTGGAAGTCTGGCCTTACTTGGACCATGAGTCTTCATCCCACCCAGGGATCCTGACCTGGGATCCTGACCCTCACCCCACGTCCTCAGCTCGCTTGGACTTCCGAGGCACAGTTTAATAGATGCAGTTTTCAGCCGCCCTCTCCAAAAATCCCAGGGCTGAGTCAGGGGCTGATCGCCTCTCCCCAGACAGGGTGGACCCCGCGGTTGTCGCTCAGGTCTTGACACCTGCTCCAGGAAGATCTTGAGACCAACTCTCTGGGGCCCTGAGTCCACTGCCCTTAGCCCCGCTGGGAGAGGGGCTCTGCCTGAGGATCCTGCTGGGGTCTCCTGGGCTGCTTGTAGGGCTGCCCTGGATTCAGAGGTGGGAGGGCCTGTCGTGCTCCCTCAGAGATCGACATGGCTGCCAGGCCTGGTCCCCTTCCCTAGGTCAGCCCAAATCGGGCCTCCCAGACCAAAGCCCCCACCTCTGTCATACCTGGGGAAGGGACGTTGGTGAAGTCACATCGGGTCCCATAGCTAGGGATCCCCAGGTGCCGGTGGAGATGGATTCCCAGGGTCAGGGGCCTTTCTGTCCTCCCAGGGATCCTCACCTTGGCTCTGGTAGTGTCAGGCCCCACCCTCTGCAGACCTGAGTCTGTGTGCCTTAGACCCAGTCTCTCACCTCCCCTCCCCCTGCCCCCCCTCCCCCCGTGGACTTCACTGAGTTGGATGAAGGGGTGTGTAATTTTCTACATGCAAAGATCAAGGTCAACTTTCAGCTTGTAAATACTCACCTCATTCATTCTACACTGTTGAATCCCAAATCTGAGTACTATTTCTACTGAGATGTACACTACTCTCCCAGATTTGAAAGATTAAGATACCCAGTTGAGCAATTATATTCACTGAAGGCAGTGATTTCAACCTTGAAATCAGAAAACTGAAGGAAGCTACGTGGACACTGGGAAAAGAACATGAAATAGAAAATCTCCCTGGTAGTACCCAATAAATGAGTGGTTTTCATGCAGAGGTGCATAAGAAAAATTTTAGGAGGAAAATGGAATGATTCACATCTCCACAGAAACATAGATACATCCACATTACCTTGAAGGGATTTTAGGTAAGACATACAAAAGCTAGTAAATGGTGAATGAAGGATGGGAGAGAACACAATGAACCTTGTGGCCTTGGGGAAGGGTTTGTTGAAACACTCTCCATGCCATGTGACCCATTAGAATTTAACATGTGGTTGTGAGGATCAGAGGTCAGTAGATCTGAAATGGCTCTTTAGGGGTTCTAAAGAAATGTCCCTTTTCTCCAACCAAAGCATCTTGGCCTCCTCACACCCACCATGAGGGGAGGGTATCAGGATGGTGCTGTGTTATGTCTAAGCTGCATCTTGGCCTCCCTACCCCTTATCCAAGGACATGTCAAGATGGTTTTTAGTGTTGTCTAAGGCCATACCCCATCACTACCATTGGCTAGAGGAGATCCTTTCTGACTAATCAAACCCTAAGAGTGTGGCTCCTCATTGTCCTAGAGAGAGGTATAAATAGGCAAGTCAGGAGTCCAGAGTAGACCGCTGGGAAAGTTTGACAAGGCAAAGGTGACTAGGAAACGATAATCCCTTAGCAGAATATGGAACAACCCATCCCAAACACCAAAAGGAAGAAGAAAAGGAAGATGTCCTGCCAACTCAGGTCCAGAGACAGTGTCAAGGTGATATGACCACACCCAGGCTCCTCTTCCACTTCCTCCTTAACAGTTCCCCAACATTCCTACTCTGTTATTGCTTGGCAGACCCTCTCCACAGCCTGCATACCTTCTCATGAAGCCCTTGTTCCCATCCATTCCTCATCATCTTTCCCCAAACTATTGCCTTTCTGTGGTCACTCTGTTATTCTTCTTGGTGCCCAAGAAAACCATGGGAATAAAAAGATAACTTCAAGAGATATTTTAAAAAATCCCCTCAAAAACACCCACCTTCAAGAAAACCTAAGAAAGCTAGAAGGCCAACACTATGCAGCCTTTATCATAGGCCAAATGAAGGACTGAATCAAAATGAGCCAGAGCGGGACTAAGAGAGTGTGGAGAAATTCACCATTTCAAGTGATTACCTGGCCAGCCAGTAACTTCAGAGTGAGGCCAGAGATCTCATAACTATCTGTGAAGTCTCTAAGGTCTGGTCCCTGAGAAATGACCTGTGGTGTAGAGGCCAAATCTTAGACCTACAGGGTAAACCAATAGTGATGATTAAAACTACCAAATTGTGAAAAGGCATGTGTGTGTGTATGTGTGTGTGTGTGTGTGTGTGTGTCTTCATAAATCCTCTAAATGTATGGAGGAAGGAAGGAGGGAGGAGGAAAGAAATAGGCAGGTGTATGAGAAAGGAAAAATGTGGGCGTCCTACAGGATTGGGGGTCAGACCAGAAAGTCCATAGTAAGCCATACATGGAGGATAAGGACTGGGTGAGGTCTGAGCACTGAAAAAAATAATAACAACAGAAAAGATAATACTTATCTTATGGGAAAGAAAGAAAATGGCGTGTTGTTTCTGTCTGTGTGTGTTTTGTGGGAGCAGGGCACAATGTCAAGGCATACACTGAAAAAATTTATATATAGAATGATGTGTGTGGGTGACAGTGCCCCCCCAAAAGGCAGACAAATACATCACCTCTAGGTCATTTACATCATAGTCTTCTTTTTTGCATTCTCTCTATGCTGTAAGCAACTGAATGTCCTCAAAATGACCAAAAACCTTATGATATTGAATATCAGTGACATTGTGAATGGGATCAGTTTCTTGATTTCTCTTTCTGCTGCTTCATTATTGATGTATAAAAATGCAACCAATTTCTGTACGTTGATTTTGTACCCTGTGACTTTGCTGAATTCATGGTTCAGTTCTAGTAGACTTCCGGTGGAATCTATACCATGGAATACTACATGGCAATGAGAAAGAATGAAATCTGGCCATGTGTAGCAACATGGATGGAACTCGAGGGTGTTATGCTGAGCGAAATACGTCAGGCAGAGAAGGACAGATATCATATGTTTGCACGTATAGGAGGATTAGGTGGAACTTACCGGAGGACCATGGGGGAGAAGAAGGGGAAAAATAGTTGGGGAGAGGGAGGAGGCAAACCATGAGAGACTCTTGAATACTGAGAACAAATTGAGGGCTGATGGGGATCGGGGAGAGGGGAGGGGGTGATGGGCACGGAGGAGGGCACTTGTTAGGATGAGCACTAGGTGTTATATGGAAACCAACTTGACAATAAACTATGAAAGAAAAAAGAAAAGAAAATCAATGACAGAACTTTCCAGTACTAAAATCAGTGTTTGGACACCCAAATCCAACATCAATTAGGTCATTTTTTAAGAAACTTGAGGTAGAGTAGTGGCATCCCAAAGGCAGGACAATGGGAGTGGTTCACACGCAGTGCAGGCAATAAAGTGCAGATAAGTTTTTAAATTAAACTTTTAATTTTGAGATAATTGTAGACTTATATGAATTCATAAATAATAAAAAGAGATTCTGTGTACCCTTTAGCCAAATCCACTAATGGTAATTTATTATAAAACTGTAGTAGTATAATATTGCAAACTGGATATTGACATGAATGCAGTCAAGACACAGAACATTTCCATCATTTCAAGATTCCTCATGTTGCCCATTTATGGACACTTCCATTACCCTCCTACTTCTACTCTCTCTTTAACCTCTGGTAACCAGTCATCTGTTCTTCAATTATATATTGTCATTTCAATAATATTATATAAATTGAATTGTACATAAGTTTTGGGGATTGGCTTTTTTCACTCAGTATTATTCTCTGTAGATTTATTCAGGTCATTGTATATATCAATGGTTCATGTCTTTTTATTGCTGAGTGGTATTTGATGGTATGTATGTACCACAGTTGTTTGATCATTGTCCTATTAAAAAGTATTGGATTGTTTCTGGTGTTTGGTTATTATGAATAAAACTGTTCTGAATATCCATGTTCAGGCTCTGGGTGAAAATAAGTTTTCACTTCTCTGAACAAATGTCCAGGAATGTATGGGTCATATGGAAGTTGCATGCTTAGTTTTATAATAAACTGCCAAGTTGTTTTCCAAAGTGACTATAACATTTTATATCCCCACCAGCAATGTATGAGTGATGCAGTTTCTCCACATCTTCACCAGCATTTTTGTCATCATTTTTTATTTTAGCCATTCTGATAGGTGTATAGTGAAGTCTCATTGTGTGTTTTTTTAAAATTTTTTAATGTTTATTTAGTTTTGAGAGAGAGAGAGAGAGAGAGCTGGGGAGGAGCAGAGAGAGAGACACACACACAGAATCAGAAGCAGGCTCCAGGCTCTGAAGCTGTCATCACAGAGCCCAATGTGAGGCTCAAAC